CACCAAAGCAAGATTTTGACAACTTCACTAACCGACAAGAGCCGTGATTGACACTCAACACTGATCTAGTGTGATAATCTGAAGACGACTGACTTACTGATTGGGTCCTCGTCTGCCTTGTAACCTGGCCAATTTGGTGACCTCCTCACTTGGCCTGATGAAGCTTTTGTGTCAAAAGCGAAAGGTTGCCCAAATAAAAACTACCGATTGTTTACCAAGCTCTTCTGAAACGATGACTTCTCAATCGGTTCCAAACCTTTTCCAAAGAATGACCAACGTTTATCCTGGATAAAGGGACACCAGAGTGAGACGATAATTGTTCCCATCTTCTATAAAGATACGGGTAATGAATGTATTAGCCGAAGGGTGTTTGTTTGACTATATTTGTTACAAATCCTGGCGACACATGATACCGTGGCCCCTGAACCTCAATCCGGAACTCGATCTGGTAAAGAGTGTGTCGACCACATCTTCACACTCCGTCACCATATGTACGGGCAACCCAGGATCTTAGTATTTCCAGACTTCAAGGGTGCGTATTCTCCAAATCCACCTAACTGGTGTTGCTGTCGTAAATTGTGTTGAAATTTGCGTTCGATTCTGTCGATAGGTCAGTGCTGGTAACTGTGTTTGCTCGAAAGTGGCATATTTAGAAGTTTGTGGACACTTTGCGTGCAGAAACGTCGCCTACCGAAATCAGTGTTGTTCCGCGTATAAATCATGACTTGACGGAAGGATGTGTAAGAGATTACGGAAAGTTTAGGTGTTGTTGCTGCTGTTCTCCTTCCAGGGTGGGGTCTGTGTGATTGTCGCTGTGCTTGGCTGGAGGCATTTAACGATATGGCGGCCTACCGATGCCAGTGATTTTCGTGCTGCCAGTTGTTTATCCATGTTGTCTGAAAAATATATTTAAAAAATCGTTCAGCTGTTACACCCTTTCGGTGCCTGACTTCCATACCACCAGTAGGGAGCACGAGGACTGGGATACTGCCAGTTCGCCCAAGCCTAGACAGAAGAAGTCGAGAGGTAGAGGTCAGGTTCGAACAACGAACCTTCCGGTCAGTAAATTCGTGCTCTAACCACATGAGCCACCTCGCCTTGGTGATGATGACCCGCTTTTTATGGGATGGTAGGCAGATTCTTATCAAAACGGTCAAACTGAACAATAAAGCCATGCAATGAAGGACATCCTACATGTCAACAGTCGCTAGTATCCGCTTTTGTTGCCAAAGCTGGTCCACCGAACTGGCCAAGCGGAAGCAGTTACACGTTCGATAGGCATCCCCTCCTGCTCTCAACAGCCCATTTTTTTACTATCTTCTGTAACTATCACTTATTTGGTTTATTTTTCATGTTAACCCATTCCTCAGCTCACATCCGTGCCTTACTCATTTTACTTTCGTTTCAGTAACCTATAAGCAACATGTCCAAAGGATTTAGTCATATTTGCCGAAAGATTGTCGCAGTTGGACGCAACTATGTGTACTCTCTCGTTCGTCAACCAAAGTTGATTGCTTAACCCATTTTTCCTAGTGAACATGCCCGAGAACTCGGTAGTCAAATTCAGAGTGATCCAGTAATTTTTCTCAAACCGCCAAGTGCCATCATCGAACAAGGAGAGAAGATTGTGGTGAATATTGGTTTATTCTGTGTTTCACTTTCCTCATGAATGTTAGCTCCCAGAGGGCGTCACAGACCTACACCATGAGGTTGAGCTTGGACTTGTGATCGGAAAAGAATTATCGAAAGCGAAGCTCTCTGACGTAAGCAGTTACAGACCATTGCTACTAACGGCTTGTTCTTTCTGATCTACAGCACACACAGTAACCATAAAGTCACATGTTTTCAATAACTTGATCGCTGTTTATTATAGAGACTTGATTTTTTGACAAACGTGCAGAAACATGATGATGAGAAAACCAAGGCAACGTGTTTTTCCAGGTCCTACTCGCTGAATTTCCATTCTGGATTGTAAGAAAACACCGATAAGTGCGAAATATGCGTGGTATAATCGCAGCTTAGCTTCTATTCCGTTTTGTTCACCTCGCATAGCATTTGCTCTTGGACGCTTAGCATCCAAATGTTCACTTGGCTAGTAGTGTCCCTGTGTAGAGCAGTGACAACCTAAACAGCACTCAGAAAGTTGATGTAGCCCAGCTTGAAACCTGTTCTCACTCAGCGTTGTTTGGTCGTCAAGTGAGGACTACTGCTTTAGAAACTAAACGAAAGTTAGAACACTGACTTCCGATGAGGAGGTTTAAGTTGTTGAACCTTCAGGTGTTTTCCACAACAATCCACAAGTTGACAGCAATAACTCTGTTCCAGGGAAGCCCATTTATCATCCATTTGTTGATCACAACTTGGTGACAAATACGGATTAATTTACATTGAATAGACACGAACCAATCTTGCATTCGAAACACTCATATTTGTGCCCAAATAGAAACACAATATGGAATGCGATGCATTGCGGATGTGCGCTTCTAGCCCACCACCATCAATGCAAGTGCAGTCATGTTCATGGAAGTTTCTCTGTACAGGAGGCACAGCTATGAAAAGGTGTTAGATTTAGAAAAGCTTCGTATAGGAAATCTGACGAACCAAAGAACAGAAGACCTGTGATGAAGGCATCCTATACGAGCTCCTGGTAGCACTGTTCATCACTGTTAGATAACGGCTGAAGGCATCCTATACGAGCTCCTGGTAGCACTGTTCATCACTGTTAGATAACGGCTGAAGGCATCCTATACGAGCTCCTGGTAGCACTGTTCATCACTGTTAGATAACGGCTGAAGGCATCCTATACGAGCTCCTGGTAGCACTGTTCATCACTGTTAGATAACGGCTGCTAAGATGGACAATTTGGCTTCAAGCATCTTGTCATTATCACTACTCTACTGTACCCCGATGACGTCACCTCTGTCAGTGCTTAAACTTTTCAACTAAATTCGCTAGCTATCCTATACAAATTCCTAGCTGTGAATATTCTATTTAATATGAAAACAAAATAGCGACCAGCGTCAACCACAACTCTTGCTTTTTTAAGTTGCACTATATCGTTTGCCAATTAGTTGCACCGTGAACGATGGTCACCAGTATTGTCTACCATCTACAAATCCATTATTCCTTGGGTAGCCTATAGGCAGATGTCATGTGTTTATGTTGCGTGAGTACCGCTGAGCCTAATACTGACCACTGTCTGCAGAAAGATTAGTTTTAGTCTGACTCTCGTATGGTTACAATGACAAGTATTGATTTTCGAGCGGCTGCTGCAGTCACACCTGCTAACTCATGCCTGGTAAGTGACTTAGCAAGCAAACCAATCACGTGTGTGGGTGTTTGCTGGCACATCGGTTGGTTATTGTCCTTTTTGACTTCTTTGGTTATTCATCCCTTATAATCATGCTCTAACAGTCATTACATGGTAACTTGGTAGCTTGCGAACTCGCGTACCCATTACTCATGTGGGACGATTTAACGGTTGGCCACGAGGGTGGTTAAAGCGGCATTATTGGAACTGTTACGGAAACAACAGTGGAACTGCGGCGGAATTCGACACAGTTTCGTCGGGAAAATATGTTGTGATGTTTCGAATATCGTACCAGCACCAACTGGAACATGAGGTGGCCTGGTACAGCACATTCGATTGAATAATATTACAAACCAGGTGTTCATACGAGTCATTTACAGGTATCCCACTCCAAGGGAATACTCCTAACAAGCAGCACTCAAGAGGAGTTAGTCTATTCCTCTGAAGTTTCCATTTAAACGAAAAATCAACCCTCAGTTGGCATCTGGGCCAATCTTTGAGGCGCATTTTTATCCAAATTCATTTCATAATTGACTAGAATCATATCATTCTGCTCCATATAACGTACAACCATGATCACTGGTGGGTGGCCAGCTTTCATCTGACCATCTATCTTTATGACGAATATGATAAGTTCGAATCGGTGCGCTTTAAGTTTAAATGGGTGTAAAACGACTAAAGGGTACTTAGGTCGAAACCATTCCTTGATTTTCCACTCAAAGATGTTTGGAATGTGTACACAAAACTTCCCTCTTGCTCGTTTTGGTCTCTGGGCGCGAACAGACCAGATAACATAGCGGCCAACACTTTAACACTTGGAACTCGCGCGCACAATATACCATTTGTATGCAACGTTTAGTAGAGAACCTCAAACTTTTGAAACATTGCAAATACAACCAACGCGTAACTTTGGCTGAAATGAGCTAGTTCCGAATTTTCTGACAGGTTTGACGAGCTGTTGATTCATTTTTACAGAATAATGGCGCATTTGAATCCGACAGTACCATATGTACCCGCCACCACTCTAATCAGGTTTTCGTAGCACCATCGGGTTGGAAACAATTATCAAGAGTGCAGCAAGCACAGCCGCGACCGACCAGTTGTAGATGTCGCTCGATCAGGTGTTAACGCCTTCGGTCATTCGGGTGGCATAAACAGGCTATGGTTGTGCCCTTTCCCCATGTAACGCAGGTTCGCAAAGGTTAATCTGGCCTCCCCAGTCAGGATGGAAATAACATTTTTCGCAAGACCGCATACTGACGGGAAAACAAAGACTGGAAAGTGGCCTTCTCAATAGGTGGACAAAATGATAGGTAAATGGAAAAGTTGGAGATGGCCAGATAGATAGATAGATAGATAGATAGATAGATAGATAGATAGATAGATAGATAGATAGATAGATAGATAGATAGATAGATAGATAGATAGATAGATAGATAGATAGATAGATAGATAGATAGATAGATAGATAGATAGATAGATAGATAGATAGATAGATAGATAGATAGATAGATAGATAGATAGATAGATAGATAGATAGATAGATAGATAGATAGATAGATAGATAGATAGATAGATAGATAGATAGATAGATAGATAGATAGATAGATAGATAGATAGATAGATAGATAGATAGATAGATAGATAGATAGATAGATAGATAGATAGATAGATAGATAGATAGATAGATAGATAGATAGATAGATAGATAGATAGATAGATAGATAGATAGATAGATAGATAGATAGATAGATAGATAGATAGATAGATAGATAGATAGATAGATAGATAGATAGATAGATAGATAGATAGATAGATAGATAGATAGATAGATAGATAGATAGATAGATAGATAGATAGATAGATAGATAGATAGATAGATAGATAGATAGATAGATAGATAGATAGATAGATAGATAGATAGATAGATAGATAGATAGATAGATAGATAGATAGATAGATAGATAGATAGATAGATAGATAGATAGATAGATAGATAGATAGATAGATAGATAGATAGATAGATAGATAGATAGATAGATAGATAGATAGATAGATAGATAGATAGATAGATAGATAGATAGATAGATAGATAGATAGATAGATAGATAGATAGATAGATAGATAGATAGATAGATAGATAGATAGATAGATAGATAGATAGATAGATAGATAGATAGATAGATAGATAGATAGATAGATAGATAGATAGATAGATAGATAGATAGATAGATAGATAGATAGATAGATAGATAGATAGATAGATAGATAGATAGATAGATAGATAGATAGATAGATAGATAGATAGATAGATAGATAGATAGATAGATAGATAGATAGATAGATAGATAGATAGATAGATAGATAGATAGATAGATAGATAGATAGATAGATAGATAGATAGATAGATAGATAGATAGATAGATAGATAGATAGATAGATAGATAGATAGATAGATAGATAGATAGATAGATAGATAGATAGATAGATAGATAGATAGATAGATAGATAGATAGATAGATAGATAGATAGATAGATAGATAGATAGATAGATAGATAGATAGATAGATAGATAGATAGATAGATAGATAGATAGATAGATAGATAGATAGATAGATAGATAGATAGATAGATAGATAGATAGATAGATAGATAGATAGATAGATAGATAGATAGATAGATAGATAGATAGATAGATAGATAGATAGATAGATAGATAGATAGATAGATAGATAGATAGATAGATAGATAGATAGATAGATAGATAGATAGATAGATAGATAGATAGATAGATAGATAGATAGATAGATAGATAGATAGATAGATAGATAGATAGATAGAAGATAGAATAGATAGATAGATAGATAGATAGATAGATAGATAGATAGATAGATAGATAGATAGATAGATAGATAGATAGATAGATAGTAGATAGATAGATGCAAAAATGGTAATGTACTTGCATTTCCAGATCAACACAGTTGCCTTGCGATCAGGCTTTTGAGCCATAGGCTTTGGTTGAGGACCATAATCGTCCTCCTGCCTAGATGTGGGCACTCTGGCAGTATCCCAGCCCTCGTGCAACCGTAACATCTGCAGATAACAATAAATAACGAATTGATCCCGTGTTGGCACGCTAATGCGGGTCGTTTTCGTTCAATGATTCCGCCACATTAGATCGTCCTAGGTTGTTCAACTTCACTGCATTTTACAGGTGATTGCGATGCGGTTTGGTTGACAGGACTCAGTCGCTAAAATCGTCAAGTCTCGAAATAAAGATGGTTCTTGACTAGCAGAAACTCGGATCCAAAGCTTAAGTATGGTCATCACGGCAATTTCACCATAACCCAACTACGTACTTATAAAGCCAGTGGTCTGTGCATATCTGGCAGCCAGTCACCGCGCTTCAACAGCCTTTATCCGGAACATTCCCAGAGCCGACTGATTCTACCT